GAAGATGAACAAGAAGAGCAGCCAAAGATGAAGGCTAAAACTGGCAATGCTGAGGTACTCCCATCTAAGGCAACACTGAGGTCGGTGAACCACGAGATGTCAAAGGAGGAACTAAGGAGGCAACACCAAGCTGAACTGGCCCGTCAAAAGAATGAGGAGACTGCTAGGAGGCTTGCTGGTACTGGATCTGGAGTTGCAGATAACCGTGGCTCTGGAAAGCCTTCTAGTGAATTGATTGCATATAAGAATGTCAATGATCTGCCTCCTCCTAAAGATTTTATGATCCAGGTTGACCAGAGGAATGAGGCCATCCTCTTGCCTATTCATGGAACCGTGGTTCCTTTCCATGTTGGTCATGTGAAGAGTGTGTCTAGCCAGCAAGATACAAATCGTTCCTGCTACATTCGCATAATCTTTAATGTACCTGGAACTCCTTTCAACCCTCATGATTCAAACACAATGAAGTTTCAAGGTTCTATATATGTTAAGGAAGTTTCATTTCGCTCCAAGGATCCAAGGCACATTAGTGAAGTAGTGCAACAAATTAAAACCCTTCGCAGGCAGGTTGCGTCCCGCGAATCAGAAAAAGCTGAGAGAGCAACTTTAGTCACTCAAGAGAAACTTCAACTTGCTGGATCCAAATTTAAGCCCATGAAGTTGACTGACCTGTGGATTCGTCCAGTGTTTGGCGGTCGTGGAAGAAAGCTAACTGGGACACTTGAAGCACATACAAATGGACTTCGGTATTCAACTTCAAGGCCCGACGAGAGAGTTGATATTATGTATGCAAACATCAAGCACGCATTCTTCCAACCAGCAGAGAAGGAAATGATCACCCTCCTGCACTTTCATCTGCACAATCACATAATGGTGGGAAATAAGAAGACAAAAGATGTCCAATTCTATGTTGAAGTAATGGATGTGGTGCAGACGATTGGAGGTGGGAAGAGATCTGCATATGACCCTGATGAAATTGAGGAAGAACAACGGGAGAGGGATAGGAGGAACAAGATTAACTTGGATTTCCAGAACTTTGTAAATAGAGTAAATGACCTCTGGGGGCAGTCTCAATTTAAAGCCCTTGATTTGGAGTTTGATCAGCCCTTGCGAGAGCTTGGCTTCCATGGGGTACCCCACAAAGCATCTGCTTTTATTGTTCCCACTTCAAGCTGTCTGGTTGAGCTCATAGAGACACCCTTTGTGGTAGTTACTCTCAGCGAGATTGAGATAGTTAATTTGGAGAGAGTTGGTCTTGGACAGAAGAATTTTGATATGACTATTGTATTCAAAGATTTCAAGAAAGATGTTATGCGGATTGATTCTATTCCTTCTACGGCACTTGATGGTATAAAGGAATGGCTTGATACCACAGATCTTAAGTACTATGAGAGCAGGCTAAATCTGAACTGGCGCCCAATATTGAAGACAATTACAGATGACCCTGAAAAGTTTATCGAGGATGGTGGATGGGAATTTCTGAACATGGAGGCTAGTGATTCAGACTCTGAGAACTCAGAGGAATCGGATCAAGGATATGTCCCTTCAGATGCACAGTCTGACTCAGGTTCAGAAGAGGAGAATGATGACAGCGAGTCACTTGTGGAATCTGAGGACGATGAAGAAGACGATTCTGATGAAGATTCTGAAGAAGATGAGGGAAAAACTTGGGAAGAGTTGGAAAGGGAAGCAAGCAATGCAGATAGGGAGAAAGGACATGAATCGGATAGCGAGGAGGACAGAAAGAGAAGAAAAATGAAGGCTTTTGGAAAAGCCCGGGCACCTGAGAGAAGAAATTCTGGCGGCAGCCTTACCAAGCGGGCCAGGTTTAGGTAAAGAATAATATGAATTGCCTAAGGTTTTTTCTTTTTTATTTTGCTTCAAGTTAGATTGTCAAACCCAGAAGGTAACATAAAGCATATCTGTTTACTGGATGTAGTCCAAGCAATTTTACTTACATATGTAAAATAGGTGGTGGATTTCTTTCTCTGTCTTGTTTGTTGACACAGTCAAGTTTACCATTTAAGAGGATAGTTGTTTAATTGGAATGGGGAGCTACCGGATCAATAGCACTGTCTAACTAGTTAACTTTGGCAGTTGTTATCTGACTTTATTCTCTGGGTTTTCTTTTTTCATTTTGCTCCGGCTGGCAGGTTTTGCTAGTGAGTTTTTAGTTTAAACTCGTGCTTCATCTGCAATAATATGTGAAATTGACTGACCCTATCAAATGACCTGTAAAGATTTTCTTAAGGAGAAATTTACTATTTCTTGGCTGGAGCACAATAAATTTGTAAATGGCTAGGATTTAAATATAACTGTGTACAGAAAATTAGCACAATGCTTATGCTTCAGTTTTTATACATATGTGATATTGCTTGTGTTTATTGATGTTGAGAATAATGTATAGTGAAAAAGGTAGGCTAGTGTAGCTTAGAGAGAGAGAGAGAGAGAGAGAGAGAGAGCAAAAAGGAATTGGTTAATCTAACAAGTAAGATGGCTGTAAACACTTTAATTTTCTACATCAAGGAATCATCTTTTAAGTGCAAGGAGAGAATGACTTAGCACATTGATGTGCAAAAAAACAGTTACAGTGTACACTGGCCCATGTGGGAACAGAACAATTAATTGGCATGCACAATGAGACATTTGCTGGTTCATAAATTGCTTCTTCAAGCAATGATTTGCTTTGTTCCTTGTATATGCTAGAATAATTGAGATACCGAATTCTCTTGTTCAAGTCACCTATTTAATGATTTTGTATTCCTGAAGAAGATCCTTATAGAATAGTTTGTATGTGCTGAAGCTTCACACAGGTACATTGAAACTTGAATATTCTGAAGATTTTGTTCTTTAGGGTAGCAAAATTGTTAGGTTTGAAGTCATATTTAACTAGGGAATTCTGCTCTTTTACTTGTTGAACAGTGTTGCCTCACTAATTTGTTAGTGAACTGTCTTTCGCTTTAGGTGTGCCGAATTAACTCTTGTATGAGAAGGGAATTTGATACATTTATCTTCTGCTGATGCTTTATCCTTGTTAATTTGCTCCAAAGTGATGCAGTTGGTGGATGTTGTTTTTGTTTTTTATTTTTCTTTCAGACGGGGTGCAAAGTAGTGGATGAAATCTATGGAGAAATTTGTAGTATGTTGGACATTTAATTGATTTTGGTTAATTTGGTTATCATGTAAGTGGCAGAGCTAAAGGTACTGTAGATAGAATTTATAGTTGGCAAACATCAATCCATGTGCTTGAAGATCTTTCAGGAGCACCAATTTGCTTTATTCAGTGGATTTGACTTCATAATCAGATATCCATGTACCTTCACTTGGAACCACACTACATGGTTATCATTTTATTGCACATATGTTGAGCTTATTGTGCAGGAATCTTCGGCAACAGCCTAGAGGAAATGAGTTTTCAAGCTGAACATGTGAAGCTAGCCTACTGCTGCAACTTTCTGGTCAAACATGCAATTTTATCTGTTTCCTCAATGTGCAATTGTCACGGGGGTGATATGTAGCTTTAATAATCCTGCCTGTGAATGTGCAATTTCTCAAAGTTATTCCAGGGTATGAAGGGGACTGAATTTTTTTGTGGTCTATCGGTAACAATCTACACTACGTCTATACTATGGGGGAGGGGGAAGTCCAACTAGGCTTTGAAAGGGGTTGGGGTGTGAACCACCAAATTAGATTACTGGACTCTTCCTTTGTGCTTCCTTGCAATGCATTAGGCGGGATTTGAACCTCGGGAGCGCTCCAAGAGACTCTTCTCAACCATTGGACCAAAGTCCAACAGTTGCATGAAGGGGACTGATGCCACTCTCACTTTTTGTGTACGACCATATATATATATATATATATGTCTTTCAAGGGAAGGGAGAAGAAGCCAATACAATTGGGATTTTCGTACAATGATGCAGTTATTATTGTACATTTCACGTGATTTGGCGTATTCTTGCATTTCTTTGTTGTACATACATACAATTTTGTTCTTGTAGATCAACTCTATGGTATGTTAATACAACAATGATTTTAAACACATAACACCTTCTGAAAAAAGTACAATAACTATTTCGATTGCCCAAGAGGCCAAATTGTACTAGCCCCTTGTCCGTCTCTCAAGACTGCTATGGTATGTGGGAAGGCTGAAGCTGGATTATGAAGCTTCTTAAGTGACGATCATGAATTCTCCACGGAACTTGCTTGTCACCATCGGCCTCCTTTTCATGGTTTATGATTGAATGATGAAGCTTTAATTAAGGAGGGTTTTGGATTCCATTTTCCAATATGAAACTAGCTCCCATCTGGACACATCAAAGTCTTCAATGGACAACGATATTGAATTTGATATAGCAGCATCCCTATAAATGTTAATAGCTGAATCAGTTGCCAAGGGTCCCAGGCACAGCCACCAGTGATAAAGTAAGCATTGCGTCAAATTCTTGCTGAATGTATTTAAAGAAAGAAAATACGGACCATCAAGCACTAAAATCTAGTTCTAATATATATATATATATATATATATAAATTGACTGTACGTGTGTTTGATAAAATTGAAAGCCGAAATTTGAAATCTGAATCCATTAATTTAATTAAATTGTTACGTACTAAAATTTGAATATTTAAGCATATTCTGCATTAAGTAATAAGTGAATCGTTTATCAGTTGTTGTTTTAAATAAATTTTATCTACATAATGCAAAGTTGATTAATTAATTAAGATATTCTATTTTTTATTATCAAACATATTTGAACATATTAAAGTCTCAATTCATTAAGTTTAAGTGCTGAATCAAATTATCAAACACAGCCTCTGTAAAATTTTCTAGGAAATCAGACCCAAGTACCTTGAAAACGAAGCATAATCCTATTCCTAACTGTGGTCTGAAAACCACTTCCAAGTAAACTCCAAAAGAAAGGTATCCTTTTGCCGTACTCTTTCCTCTTAAAGTCACAAAGCAATCCAGGGCTTCGAGGACTAGGAGTTTGCTCTACAACAAATTTCTTGTCACAAAGCATTCCTCGCTTTTTCGTTTCCTCTCTCTCCCCAATATCCCTTTTATTTTCCGACTCTTTTCCGCATCCCTTAAACCCAGCACGGATGGCCCGTCCGACTCCCTCCCATAAAAAAAAAAGAACTTGCTTTGGATTGAAAAATATTTTCTGCACATGTAAACGCCGTACTTGTAACGTGCTGATTGTTGTTTGGGATGAAGGTAAAACGATATATAACTTGTTTTGATCTCCAAAAAATCTTTGAGTATGGCTTTCTGTGTTATGTCATTTACCTCAGCCCCCTTTTTTTTTTTCATAGATCAAATCTGTTTCAGGATATAGCAAAGTCTTTGGAGTTTTCTTGGTCTGGCGAACTCTGTGTTATGTCTGTTGTACACTTTCAGCAAATTCAACTACTAAAAGTGTTTAATTCCTCCACTTTTTTTTTTGGGTCTCTGGAATCTTGATTTTAGACTACAATGTTCATCTCAATCCCCTCCCCGTCGTATTATCTCCATGTTGTTCCGGCATGTCGATATTAATTTCTTCTTGCTATTATTTATACTCGAGTATTTTTTTAAGGACTGGACATTGTTGATTGGTTGGCCGCCTCAAACGTGGTTCTCCGGTGGTGCTACATAGCTCTCCGGTGGTGCTTCGCATGCATTGCCCTTGTTTTGAGAAGGATAATTAGCGCATTATCGTTTCGTGGCAGTGATAACGTTGTTGCACAGCTTCCTGACGATGTCGTGATAGACATCCTGCTTAGACTTCCTGCAGATCGCGTCGCAGACTGTCGAAGGGTGTGCAGGCGCTGGAGATCATTGACTTCCTCAGATTATTTTATCAAATTGCACCTGGATAGGTCTGCTCCACTCATTTTTGTGCAAGCCACGGATCTAAAGGATCCGAGGGTAACTGGAAAATTGGCTTTCTACATTTTGGATCAAGCAAGCAACCGCAGGAACAAAATAAAAAAATTGCGGCTTAGGCCTGAAATAAAGATGAGTCAAGGTGACACCGAAGTTGTTGATTCATGTCATGGACTTCTTTTGTTCAGGGATGCCTTTGGTCGCTGGCGTTATTATGTATTCAACCCTTTAACACAAGAACTATTGGTTCTAGATGGTCCTAATGAAGGTCGTTCACGTGCCTTCTTTTACGATCCATCGGCAAACGAACTTAAGATTCTTTACCTGTGTATTGGTTTCCAGTTCTTTATCTACAGCCTCGGAGGAAGGAGTTGGAGAAAGATAAAAAGCCCACCTTCAGGTTCTCCCCCTCAGTATGATACCCCACCTGCAATCTGCAATGGAGCTCTTCATTGGATCACAAGTTGCGGCCGTACTGCTGAGGAAGATATCCCACCTTGCACCAGTGGAATAACAATTTTTGGGATGGATACCGAGGATTTCTCTACCTTGCCTCATCCTGGTGGCGAGTGCAACTCCAGAGTGAATCACAGAAATATGCGGCTTTTAGTGGTGGATGAACATCTATCCTTCTGTAATGTGTATCGGGGTTATACCGTCATTGATATATGGTTGCTCGAGGACTACGCGAGCTGGGCTTGGGTTAGAAAATGGTGTCTTCGGCCAAACCTATATGGTCCTCGACCTCTGGAATCGGAATGTTACAGCTTCAGCCGGAGATTAGAGGTTGTGCACTTTCAGAATGGAGAATTGTGGCTGGATTGTGGTGAAAGAGGCTTGGTTCTTTATCATCTTGACCAGAATACCTTTAAGAAACTTGGAAGACCACCCACTTCTTATGAGCATCGTTGCATTCATTATACGAAAAGCCTGGTGCCCCTACATCAAGCTGCTCTCCCGCAGGATTGATTACTCATTCGCTTATTGGATCCTTCTTTTAAGAGTTTTCTATATCTTCCAGTTTGGTAGTATTAATTTATACTTGTGCTAGTTGAATGGGGTCACACGCAAGCCGCCCAGACATAGGTTCATAAAATGCTAGAAATTTATGACGATAATAGTAGTATATGTAGTTTTAGTATTTATTTTTTTTCCGGCTACTATAACATTTTAATAACTTGATTTATCTTATTCTATAGGGGGGTGCAGGAGAGGTTTAAAGAAACTGTATTAGGAGCTAATAAACATACAAATCCGATTAAATTAAAGGAGTACTCTGACATCTTTTTAAAATTTTTCTTTCACTTCAGATGAATTTTTGACTCCTAACCTAGGATCCAAAGAGGGACTTAGTCTCCCTTTTTGGTGCTCCTTGAACCAAAACTCGATGGTTTATATGTAGATGTAGAAGGATTGCAGGAGAACAAGTAAAAACATTTTGGTGTCATAGTCAATGACTGGCTTAGGATCTGTGCACATTGCGCTTGGGAGTTCTTGACACTACAGATAAGATAAATGTATTCGCATCATGAAATGTACAAGTGCATGCATACAAATACCAAAAAAACGGTGAAACTAAACACTTGGAAAAATATGTTCACCCTACTTGTATTTGGTCGAGAATAAAATAACTAAATTCGAAACAAGCAAAAGCCTCCTTGTATTCTCAAACTCCTTGTGCTCTTTACAACACAATTTTTGTGGTCTTTCTTTTACGCGCCTCTGATATTTTTGATGAAGAAGATCTTTCAAAATAAAAGGCAGAGACCATCATCAACTTTTCCTCTTTTTCTGCTTCAAGCAATTACGATAATAATCTCCAAATATGCATTAATGTATTATAACACCCTATGACTTTGATGACCTCAACAATTAACTATGATGACCCCAATGTCGAGAAATCATTGGGGTGAATCATTTTAAGTAGTCAATTAATTAAGGAATAATTTCATAAACCTCCCTTGAGGTTTCCGACAATTTTACTGAGTTCCCTTGAGATTTGAAAAATTATACATACCTCTCCTGTCATTTAAAATGATAATTTTACCCTTAAATATTTTAATAAAATTTCCTTATTTGGTATGCTTTATATTTAAAATGAGTTTTAAAATTATTTTTTCATTCTTTTTCCTTCTTATTCCTTTTTTTTTTTTTCTCCGATAAAACTATAAAACTACCATTATTGCTTCTAATTTCTATTATAACCAAATGTCTAACTAATAATTTTTTTGACGAGTTAATTTTATATGTAATCCAATGGTTTTACTGATCTTTGTTTTTTATTTTTTTGGTATTAAAATTAACAATAAATAAAAAAGAAATGGTCCAAAAGTATAACTAAATTATGATAATCCCACTACTCCAAAAATTCATAAACTCTAAATGAATTATTTCAACGTTTTCTTTTCTATCTTATAAATTTAAATCCATAATAAAATACCATCAAAAGTATCATATCATAGTAATAAAATTATTATTATAGTTGTTTATCAAATAGTGGATATGAACATGAAAAATTTGCACCTTTTCCTTATAATTATACTAAATGATCTTATAATTATATGAAAAAATAAATTAAAACTCATTACACAAGGGTATTTTTGGATACTCATTTAAAAAATTGACCAAGTCAATATTATGTTATTAAAACCATCAAATCAAGGGAGGTAAGTATAATTTTTCAAATTTTAGAAGAACTCAGTGAAATTGTAACCTCAGGGAGGTTTCTGAAATTATCCCGTTAATTAACGATGAAAAAACATGAACAGTTGTATTGTGCCAAATCTTACAAGATAGTATATAAAAGTGCCAAGCAGTCGAGCAAACTCAGTTAAAAAATGCCGTTGGGGAAGTATTACTGCGATTACTGCGACAAAGAATTCCAAGACACCGCCGCCGCCCGGAAGCGCCATCTCCAAGGCGTCCATCACCAGAGGGCCAAAGCTCTCTGGTACGACTCCTTGCGCTGTTAGTTCCCTTTCTTCCTACCCTGCTTATTTACATTTCCTTTCTTTATTTTTTTTAGCTTGCTTTAATCCCTAAGTTGATTCTATAATTGTTTGTGTTTTTACAGTTTTGCAAATGTTATTATTTCTGTTAGCAGATGTAAATCAGATTCCTGATCCAGGGACCTTGGGAAAACAAGGTGTTTGCAATCGATTTGTTCGAACGGTAAAGACAAATGCCTTCAATTTTACTTGAACAACTTTATTACGGGACATTTAGCCTATAGCACTTTTACTTGTCAATTAACAAACAAGGGAAATGCACTCCTCATGTACTTTTTTTTTTTAGTTAGATGATTTGAATTTCTTGTTTGCTTTTTATTGATAGCGACTAAATTGAAGGAATTTGTATTTGTATGGCATGACATCTGTTGAATTGTTGGCGAATTATATTTGATTAATCTCCTAAACTTTTGATATTCTCAGGGCTCTTGCCAATATGGGGATTCTTGTAAGTACTATCATCCGAAACAAAATCCGAATGATCAAGTGCTGCCAGGTGCCTCTTTTGTCTCAATGATCTGGTTGTGTTATTATATTTTAATCTTGCATGCAGTCTTTCTTGCTTGCTTTCCTTGTATTGTTGGATCGGGATATTTTCTTCTGTGCAGACTCAACCTTAGGGCAATAATTGGACCAAACACGTACTAGATATCTTAAAGCAAATATACACCTGATCAAATGGATTAGCAATAACCAAAGAGGGGTAGCAGAACTCGTTTTGAAAGCACTCTGGTCAATTGGGGTAGGGGGATATAAGTCTTATGATGGATGTAATTGTAAACTATGAAGTCATTTGTCAATTTCTGTGCTATACTAATACATCAGTGATTAGAAAGCTTCGATATGAGCCCAATTTAACAGCATGTTTTTGAATACAAGGAGATGATAATGAGATTTAGGAGGCATGAATATGAATTGGGATCTTGTCCATCCATGTAACTGTTAGTCATCAGAAATCTTGTCAAAAGGCTTGATACTTTGCTTGTATGGAATCCTAAGACCAGACTTGAAACAGCCCATCCAAACTCTGAGTACCAATCTGCATAGATGATGCTTTTTCTTTATATTAAAAAAAATGAAGGGTAACATTAGGTTTTACCCCTTCTAACTTGTGTTTTATGAAGTTACTAATCAGGTTTTTGGTAGATTTATAGCAATAGCTGAAACTGAAATCAGGTTTTTGGTAGATTTATAGTAATAGCTGAAACTGAAGATGCCTATGCCATTGATCCTATGTTCTCTGTATCACCTTCTTATAACTACAATTACTACCATACTACAGCTTATTTTCATAATTTGAGCACAGAGAACAAAGAGTGACACAACTTGGATAGCCACCATTTTAGTTGTAGTCCATCCTGATGCAGGAAAGGCTTTAGTTTGCTAGGCTATTTTTGCTTTTTGGCAAGAGGAGTCCATGGGGAAGTACTCTGTCCGCTGGTCTACATGCCTTTTAAAGGCAGAACCAGATAGAGCTACTTAATCAAACACATTGTTTTACTGTAGTATTCAAAGCTTTTCTTTTTTGTTAATTAAAGGAGAGTCTATTGGGGGAAGAGGAGGGAGAAGGGGTGGTTATGAATAGTTATTCCTACCAATAGACTTCACAAAATTGTGGTTGAAGAATATCTGATACTGCTTTTTTCCCCCATTGGTTTTACATTTAGCAGTAAATTTCATTGATAATGGTTGATTACAAAATAATCTTGGTAGTCAAATAATTCCATCAAATCCTTTTAAAGGCATATTGACCAGTTACTCTTTTCCCCTTTTTGCTCTACTCTCAGTATTAGAAGTAATATTAAACATATTCTTTCTTAACTTGTTTCCATCTAATCTTGTTATCTTCGTGGTTGAAATAGGTCAGATGTCCAGTCAGAATGTGCAAATTTCATGGGGCAACCTACCTCCATCCTTGATGCCTCCTCCAGAAGCTGGATATCCTCCTTTACCCTTTATTGATTGGGGATAGGTATTTGCCTCATACTTTATGCATCAGTTTCCATGTCTTTTTTGCTATTAGCTTTTATTTAGATATGTTTTTGTGGTTATATGGATCAAAGGACAAGGGTTGCACATTTCCTTAATGTTGTAGTTCTAGCACCTCATAGCTCTTGAATGATGAAGAATTGCTTTGAGTTACCCTTTCCACATGTTATTTCATTCTGGAATTTTCACCAAGACTCATTTGAGGGCTAATTTGTCATTTTTCTAAGAATATGTGGCAGCATTAATAATTCTACGATGTTTTTCTTATTTAGAGGGCTAAAAATATATGGCTTTAATATTTCCTAGGCGTTGTTGTAGCATCATTTGTGGGCTTTTGATATAGACTATAAATGGGTTGCATATGGAGTGGAACAATATTTTCCTTTTTTAATCATTAACTTAGGGAACTTCAAGATCAACAACTTATATAATAGATTGGAGTAAAAATATCTGATTTCAGTGGGTCTGGATCCAGAAAATGATTACATATCTTTGCTTGAGCATTGCTAAGCATGGATACAGGTGAGGATCTGTTGTTTTCTTTATTTATACCTGTACCTGAGGCTAATTAAGCTCCTCAAGTGCCAAATTGAAATCTGTAGTTGTTCGATCTTTGACTTTCAAAGATAAGTTAGTAACCTTTTTAGTAACAATTCACGCAATTTTAACATGTACACAATCTTATGACATGGATGTTCTTGAGATGTTAACAAGCTTTATTGGTTTGGAAGTTATTGATAGTAGGCTTTGTTGAAAACACTGATCCTAACTTTTGATGACGGCCAGGAGCCGCCTATGCATAGCTTAGAGATTTAAAATTCCTTCACTTTGAAGTCTTGCATGTTAGGAATTGCACACCACAAATCAGTTTCTTTATATTATTTCACTTGGTTGATGTTACAACTTATCTTATTATAGTACTGAAAAATGGGTCACTCATATTTTGTAATCTGGTTTAGGATAAAAGAGAGTTCTTCTTTACCGCCTGCAAATTTTTTTCCTAACTACAATAGCACCGGAAAAGAATACAGTCAGGTCTTGATTTGTATTTCTGGAGCCTATCACTAAACTCTGCAAGATAGTACTCGATGATTTGTAAATATCAAAGCTTATAAGATACCCAATCAAAACATACTTGGGCGGTATTTTGTTATTATTATTATTTTTAAAGTATTTGCAAGTGTAGGATACTTAGTCATGCTGTTATACTCAGGTTCAAGACCATAGCTGCCACCGCTTACATGCATGATAAAGACGGGGCTGAGAACGGAGGACAGACGAAAGGAAGAAAAAATTTTGCAAGAGAACCTGTATATGTGTATTAGGATACACTTTTTTTTTTTTTTTGAATGAAGGATACACTTATTTCAAATCAATGTCTGACTGACTTGTTGGAGAGAATCAAGGTGCAATAAGAAGTGATTATGATATCTGCAAGTGAAAACCGTAGATAGATGTATGGCACCAAAGGTTCGTTTATTTTTGCTTTAACGCAATAAATGTGTTTTACAACTATCACCAAAACACCTGCAGACAAGTTTCTCATTCTTGTCTGATCATAATTCGCGGACTAAAGATCCTTATGACAGCTCAAACTTGACTCGACTGCCAAAGCTTAACAATTGACACCACCAACAATTAAGTCCTACTAAGCTTATGATGAACTCAATTAATTGCATATCAAGTCTCTTTGGGATTTTAGTGAACCAGCTCAATGCCTTCTGAGATGAATGGGATTTGAAATATAACTCTATACAGAAGGATTTTTGTTGTGTCTCAACATGGAAAAGAAGAGAAAGGCTAGGCTGGCAAACAGAACGCCCATGGCTGATAAGATGAGTATGTCCGTATTTATCCTTGTGTGGCCTAGCGCTCGCGAGCTTGCCAACCGATCCCACACATAGGAGCCATCTGGGAGCCTTTTGCAGCTGCAATCTGATGCACAAGTCTTCGGGTTGCAGTAAAAACTGATTGAAGTCAATGCGTTCATTGCATATTGAAAAGGGTTGGTCCAGTACATCCAACGGTAGAACTTAATGTTCGACAGCACGACAACTACTCCAGAAGCTGACACCCAGAGTGAAGTTAGGATTGAAACCAGAAATGCTGCAAATATCGGCAGTGGGGCTAGGAAAGTCACCATCATACCAAAGTACGTGACACACAAAGTGAATACACAGAGCACAAGCCAATATTCTAGGAATTCTGGTACTGATCTTGTTCCAATTCCCGCCAAGCCATTTCCAATACCTACCATTGCAAGCGTTGCGATGAAGAAGTATGGAATCTCACCGACTGCCCAAGATAACGGATAGAATATTGGCAGATACATTCCTGCCCTTTTCTCCCTCAAATAAACGAGTCTGTCCGTACCAATCTGTGGGATTACGTTGTTTGCTGAGATTACTCCAATTAGGATAACTTGCATGTATATGTAGAGTGATCTTGATGTCACACCATATAGGTCCGAGTATTTTGATCTGATAGAATAGGGAGCCCATTAAGAAACCTATCATGATGCACCCCGTAAGCCTGCCATACGTGTATTGCACATTTCTCCATAAGAACCTTTGTGTTCTCAAGAGCACCAGACCTGCTTGGCGTGAATATGGAGCTGGGTAGGCTGGGGCAGTCTTTTTTTGTACTCTAACTTTGTGTAGATTCTTTATTGCGGCAATCTCTTCATTCACCTGCTTATGCAGGGAGCTAGCCCTATAAGTGTCTGCAAAGTTTATGGATGGAGTTCCCCTACTTTTAATGCCTTGTCCTAAACATCCCATTACCAAGCTAATGGGACTTTCTCCAGTTAGCTTTCTGGGGGAGCTTGGGATCGGTGAAAAATAATTTAGCAAATTCTCACAGTTTGGTCCGATTGGGCCAAAATATGCTTGTTCTCCTTCTCTGGTTAGAATTAGAGCTTGATCAAAGAAAGAAAGTGATCGAACAGTTGGGTGTGTGAGGGTTGCAATTATACTCAGACCAGAAGCTGACAATCCTGAAAGAATGGCGAGGATACTTGAGATCCCTGCACTATCTAGACCATATATTGGCTCCTCCAGGAAAAGAATACTTGGGTTCGCGGCGAGCTCTACTGCAATTGTCATCTTCTTGGCTATCTCAAATGTTCTCCCTGTAGCATCACGAAGTGAAGCAACAAGTTGGTTAGAGTAAGGCAATAAACCAAGTTGATCCAGAACTAACTCAACATGGATATGACAGCTTCTGGTGTCTATTTCTCTGTTTAGTCTAAGTGCTGCACTGAATTGAAGAGATTCACGGACAGAGAGATATGGCTGGTGTGCATCAACCATCTCAACATAGCCTATTAGTCTGAAGAAAGTTTCTCCAGTTATGACATCATTTGCCCGCAGGTCACCTTGGAGGTGGGGACTTGAAGGTATCCTCCCTGCCAAGCATTTCAGGAGTGTGGTCTTGCTTTCTTGTGAACCACCTAATAGAGCTAGCATGTTTTGAGGATTCGCATAGCCTGTGATGCCGTTGAAAACCAATATCTTTTTCTTCATTTCTTTGTCAAACCTGGTATATGATTTTTTTCCCCACAAATATGTTTGGACGGTTAAATGAGTATCAGCACTGTGAAAAACAAAATACATAAATGAAAGATGCTATAGCTGGACCAAGCCTTATTTGATTTAAACTGATTTTTATTCCCTTACAAAGCATTTATATCATTTTTGAGTAGTAAGGAATCATCGTCATGCTAGCCAGAAGTTTAGTTTGTTAAGATACCTTGTGAAAGATAGATCTTCAAACATGAGGGACACGGGCTTTACTGGAATTCCCAATTCTCTTCTCTCCATATCAATGGCAATATCCTCAATCCATCTCTCAACTCCACGGTCATCTGTCACTTTAACACCAGGTGGCAGTATAGTTGGTCTGGTGTCCATGGTGGGATAAAAGTCTTGCTCACTTACACTGCCACTTGATGACAATTCTCTCTCTTTGTCTTTCCTAAGGTTGCTTACCACAGTACTCCTCTTGAGATGTGGCAGTGACTGGTTTAATCCTTTGAACTCTAGGGTTTTCATACCCCATAATGCTAATATGGTCATAACTGCTGTCCATCCTATTAGGACAGCATATGGAAACCATGGTCCAAAGTTGTCATTTAAAAGCTCATAATAGAGCAAATAGGCCTTCCCAACTGTGTTTGATGGGAATTGATCACAGAAAGGAAATTGACCTCTATAGTTGGAGCATGGATCATCATAATACTGGAACTGGGATCGGCAATATGAAATATTGGCCCAGCGGATTGGATTTATATATGTTAGCCATTTCCAGTAGGTAGGAATATTGGATGGGTATATTACAAAGCCACTGAATAAGAGGAAGATTGAGACCAGAAGACCTGCAAGATATTAAATGATGAATGTTATTTGTAGCAGAGAGGTGGGGAGAAAAATTTTCCGTCTTTGGAGAACAGACCTATAATTTGACCTGTGATTTGTTAATCAAGTGATTGTGACTACACATGGAAATGTAGGATTTTAGGACTGTCATGTGTTGGGTAGATAAATTATTTTTAACAGAACTTTTACTAACTATATTGTCTTTTACCGTGTCACTAATCTTGGCATGCCCAAGATGAATCATGATATGATATGTGGGAGAAAAAGTGGTTTTAAGTGCTTTTGCAAGGAGTTTCTGTACCTGCTAAAGCATTCCCAATCTCTGGAATTGAAGATACGGCACTTAGAAAGAAAAAAACTGATGAACCAAAGTATGCCACCAGGAATAAGAGAAGCAGATATTCAACCAAAGCTGTTCCCTTCCCTGAAAATGATAGCCCGACCAGAAAATACACGGAGAATGTATAAGATGCTGCCTGCAAAATACGGTAGTCATAAGATCTATCAGTCTCGCACTATAGATTTCTCTTATTATATTTCTGCAAAAGGAAGTCATTTAGTTGTTTACTTCTATTAGAGTTTGCGGGATGTTGACTATGGAATGGGCCACAACATATGAGGAAGCTCGAAAGAATTTCTGTGCCCGATGCTTATAAAAGATAGGCCTTTGGAGCAAATAAAGTGGGAGCTGTACCAAGTTTATGAGCATTATGCTCATTGTCGACACAAACCCCAAGGCCCTCACAGAGTTCATTTTCTGTTGGTCATATTGCCCTCCGAGCTTGGAGAACAGAGTCCCAGTAAACAAGCCAAGTATGATTGCCTGCAATAGGAGTAGTCTTTGTTAGGTAGAGTTGGCATAAACTTCAGATGAACAGAATCAACATTATTTGTATCTAAGAGGGCATTACAAAAAATTGGCTGTGACATTGTTCAGCTATTTCCAACATATTTAATTTGGACTAATACCAAGATTTGATACTTACCTGGAATAGCCTTAGCATGAGTAAAATTTGGAGGCGTTTGGTGATCTTAATTTGCCTACCGATGAGTGTTTTTGTAGATTTCAACCATGTTTGTGTAAATGGCGTTTGAGATTTCTCCCATTGAGGTTGATAACTTTCCTCCTATATCACCAAAAGTTATTTCAGTTATTTTGGAACTAGCATCTTCTTTTTAGCTCTATTGAAGGTAATTGCTTGTCACAATATTAAACGAAAGTCCTTGTAGTCTCCTTTTTCTAGTTAGTTTTTTTTTTTTTGAAGAGAATCTGTACCTTTGTCTCATAACGTTCCACTTGAATACGTATATGCCCTGCAGCCTTCTGCAATGTAGAGTATGCATGAGAGGCATGCTCATGCTGGTGTCTTTGTGGCCCCAATGCCAGATATGTCGATTCTTCACCGTTTACAGACAATGCTGTAACGATATCTCCAATTTGAACTCTGCCTGTGCTCTCAATTCCTCCTGACTGACCAACTTTGCTAGAAATCTTGCTAACTACCAATTCTGCAGCCAAGCATGGTTTTGCTTACGTTGACTATTAATAGCAAAAGTACAATTTTTTTCTTATTCTATAACTTCGAAGTCTGTAATCAGTCGAGATGGTGCCCAGAATCCTGTGTATTGGAGCATTACTATGAGGTTTGACGGGCAGACATACCTGTCAACTTTCTTGGCTTGGCATCAACCAAGGAACTGTACGTGGATGGTGTCTTCAGAGACAGGCCAAGCCCGGGCTCAGTTTCGATCCAGTAAGTGTGCTTCACTTTGTCCCATGTGACAATTCTTATAATGTCTTTGTAGTGATCCGAATTCCTATAGTTCCCAACCAACTGATCTATTGACAAAGGAGTCGCCTCTGGTGCTATATATCGGGAACCATATCCAGCCACTATATCTTCCAGGAACTCAGCTGATTCCACATGCAATGGCTTCTCATATCTGCACATTCCACCAAAATAGCTCATAGTGAGTTATATCACTAGGATTGCACCTCCAGAAATCAAATGTACCATACTATAAGATAGTTTAGGAGTTTTTGGAATTATGCATTTTTATTATTACTGACCCAAGTTTATTGAAATAGGGAACTGCATCTTGTCGAGGTCCTTGGAACACCACATGACCATCGCCTAGAAGTATGATTCTGTCGAAGAGATCAAATACTTCTTGTGATAAGTGCGTTAGTGACATGATCGCAGAAGATTGTTGAATTCTGCATACTGTTCTTATTGTGTCCACCAGGTCATAAGTAGCTGCAAGATCAGACCCTGAAAGTGGCTGGTCATAAAGCATGACAGCATAAGTCCCCAGTGCTAATTCCGCTGTTGTGAGCTTCTGGCGATCAGTATCTGAAATAGCTTCTCCAGTAAGTTTGTGTTCAATGTTCTTCAAGTTCAGAATCTCCAATATGTACTCTAAGAATGGATCTTGTCCCTCTACAAGTGCATGGGCAAAGAATTTTCTCATTTGAGGAGTGAAGTTCTCTGGACGAAGTGTTTGACTGCAATCCCTTGCAAACTCTAGTGTCTCTCGAACAGATAAAAATGGAATATGTCTGCAGATTTAGGGTAGAAAAAGCAGTAAATATCAAAAGAAGGTTTATAAAACTTATGAAAGGTGACTGCAACACAGCAAAAAAGTGATTGACTTCTTTTAGTCCTTGATATCAGCAAATATTAAATAACCTGCAGAATTGAATCCTTCTTCTGGAAATAAAACTTTTCAATGTTCATGAACTTATTCAACGAGTTTTAAATATATTCTAGTGAAAGCTTTCTTTGTTTGGCTAGAAATTGTCATGCTGGTAAGTAGGGAAGCTGCATACTTGTTGAGCTGGCCACTGACATAGGCAACAAGTCTGCTTAGATGAACCTCAGATGCATATTTATCGTTGTACATAACCACTCCTTGCAGGTGAGAATTCTTGTCTCCTTTAGCTCTTCCAGCAAATATTTCTAAAAGAGTGCTCTTGCCACAACCTGCAGCATTGGAATCATGGTTCAATACTCGTGCAGAAAATTGCAGATTTGATGGTTGTCACCTTTCCAAAAATAGTGCAGATGGATACTGTTCATACCTGGAGGCCCAAGTAGAAGGGTCATTGAACCAGGCATGATATAACCATCTACCCCCTTCAAAATATTAATCCAGGTAGAATTCTTACTCTGGAATATTTTCTTAAAGGGCCCTGTAAACCATCCCACCACTTTATTTCCAAATGTTTCGTATTTGTTGCTGGGTATCTCAAACTTCTTTGCATAGCTTATGCCGGAAAATCTGATTACCTGCAATGTTAATTCTTCCACTCTTACCATTAGAAATTCAGGTGAATATAGGAAGTAATACTTTGGTTCTTTCTCTCTTCCGCGACAAGAATGTGTACATAGATCCTTGATTAGGATAGACAAACGGTTTCCAGCTAGTTGCAGGCTTCCTAAATGCATAGATTGATATCTTCGTGACAGGACAACTAAACCTGTATTAGTTTTTCAAAATCATTTTATGCTAACGAGTTTACCTTTGGCCCATAAGCAATCAAGAATTGGAAATTTGTTGAGTATTCGATATCTTGAATGATGACTTAGACATCTGAAGTCATTGTTATGTCCTGAAATCATATGGAAGTATTTCTGATTTTCGAACAAAAGCAGAGCCTTTCAACATGCATCTTTATTGGATACCTGATGCAGACATTTGATTTAATATAAATATTATGCTACCTTATAAAGCTTCTAACGACGTATGCATTTAATATAATTACTATGATTTCTTGATGCAGGCATTCAGTTTTAAATTGATCTAGAAAATTGACCATCCCAATTCGGACTTTTACTGTCTGGATATAAGCTGTCACAGACAAGACTCAAAAGTCAGAAATATAAAGAGACAAATTGCAGTACTCCGGCCTAGCCAGAACAGAGATTCCCAGGGTTTTTTCAAAATTTTGTATGAGTTTTGCATTATTACATCCCCTTTACGTACTTAACAAATCCCAACATCATGAGAAAGGAAATACTGGGTCTGAACACTTACAATTCTTTGCCAAGGATGGTTTTTTGCATTTCTATTTTCTTTTTCTTTTTATCCTAGATATGTTAGCAAGAACTAAACGTGGTCTCTTTGGATTTAACAATCCTTCTTATACTGAGAATAGAAATAATCTTGGAGTATCATGTATCGGAAATTTTATCTAGTATTCTAAGTGTCCTGAAATTTTAGCACGCAACTAATCTAGAACTCCTTGCGTAAATAAGTTTTTACAATGATAGCGTACAAAAGATAAATCCAGTCTCTAATGGTGGAAAGTAACCCTTGGTCCTTTCTTAGCACTTATCTTCCTGCAATTGCGGCATTTTTCATGCAGTTTGGATATCCTTTCACAGTAAATTTCTGTTACCTTCTTGCACTAATAATCAAAATATACTGCATGCATTGTGGACAAGCATTTTCTGTGTTTAATTTTACTTGATGAAGAATCTTAGGAGGTATCATCAACATCTAAAACCAGCCTCATATCTGCATTAAAAGCAATGACCGTTGGTAAAACTTACTGATGAAAAAGCATAGTTTAATTAAGTTACCTGTTGAGGAATGGGAGGAGTAATCTTTGCCACATCTCGAAGATAACTAACAAATCCATCTCTCAATATGTATTCCATCCCCAAGAGCTCTTCACTCCCCCTGCTGTCTTCCTCAGCTGACCTGTCTCTCGTGAATGCTCTACCAATTTCATCTCTCAATCCATGCTGCTTCAAGCTCTGATACATGTTAAACGCGATACTTTTTGCAGTTCCAGGAGATGCATTCTGTATCGTTTGCCTTATATCCGGTGTGGAGCTTCCAGGGTAGATTGGCGTTTGTAAGATGGTTCTTGGTGTCTCAAAGTTATACTCACTTGTGAAGTTTATTGTTTTGTCACTTACAACTGAATTTCTGCAAACTGAGGAGTATGTTTCTTCAATTGATGTGTCGTCTGTTGGAGACCATCTAGATTTTGGAGAAGAATTTGGTGAGTTCTGAGGCATTCTTTTGTTGGAAAGAATAGGATCAAGAACTTCAGTTTTTAGAAATGTTGCAGCATTGGCCTATGTTGATACAAGAAAGTGAGTAACAAGTTGCATTTA